CTATAATTCATATAATTTTTTTTTTTTCAATATTCTCACAGAACAAACATACTCTATTATTTTGATTTTTATAATATTATGTTTTTTTTTTCATTAAATATGAAATGTTATTAATTTAATATTTGTATTTCGTTAGAATTTCAATAATGGGATAAAAAATAATGAATATGTTTTTGTAGTAAGATTAGTTTTAAATTTTAATGATTTCTTTTTTTTTTAATGGAACTAAAAATATGACTATGTTTTTGTAGTAAAATTAGTTTTAAACTTTAATGATTTTTCTTTCTTTCTTTTTTTTTAATGGAACTAAAAATATAAAATAAAATAAAAATTTGAATGAGACTATTTTTTTTTTTTTTGGTCTATATATAGTGCTATATGAAAAGTATGTAGCATATAAATATTCAATAAAATTTATAATTACAATTACCAAATTACTAAATAAACAGATTTAAGTAGGGTTTTGTTCAGTTGTGTTTCTTCTCCTTCTTTTATGTTAATTTTTTTGTGTATTTGTGCCTTAATTATTAAATTAAATAATTACTAAATATCATATTTTATATAAAAGTATTTTTACAAAGAACATTAAGGGCATAGTAAAAAACTGAAAAAAATAAAGAAATAAAAAAAAGGAAAAAAATAATTTTTGGTCCCAATATAAACAAAATTCATCAATTTTGATCCAAATATAAAAATCTTATCAATTTGGTCCCAATATAACCAAAACTCATATTTTTTGTCCCAGTATGACTAAAACTCATCATATGTGGTCCAAATATAAAATTTTTATTAATTTTAGTCCCAATATAACAAAATTCATCATTTTTTGGTCCCAATATAATCAAATTTTATCTTTTTTGGTCTTACTGTTAACAAACCGACGGAAAATGCTGCAGATTGTGCAATTTTTTCAAATATAAATATAAGGTTTGATTTCTTTTCACGTCAACATTTTCTGTTGATTTGTTGACAGTGTGAGACCAAAAAAGATAAGATTTGATTATATTGAGACAAAAAAAGATAAAGTTTGATTATATTGAGACTAAAAATGATAAGTTTTGATTATATTGAGAGTAAAATTGATAATAATTTTATATTCTGACAAAAAATGATGAGTTTTGGTTATATTGTAACCAAAATTGATAAAATTTTTATATTTAGACCAAAATTAATAAATTTTTGTTATATTAGAACAAAAAATAATTTTTTTTTTCCCTAAAAAAAAGAAGCCTTAAATATACACACATTAACTATATCGTACTATTACATATTTATAATCATCATATTGAATCGAAAATAAGAATACAAAAGTAATTGAAGAATATAATCGACATAATATTGAAATATATATGTATATATATAGTAACTATGTAATCAACATAATATATAGTTTATAAAGTACTCCCTCCGTCCCATGTAATATGGGTGTATTACTGTAAATACGATAATTTAGGTAAAATATAATTAGTAAATAATTAAGAAGTGTATTAGTAAAAATTATTATTATTTACTAAAAATAATTATAGATTAAAATTAAAATAAGTAAATAGTTAATTAAAATTAAGAAAATTATAAAATTTAAAATGCGATTAAAGTGCATAATTATATTTCTAAAAATAGAAAGAACAAGTTACGTGAGACGGATGAAAATAGAAAATAGAAACAAATTATGTGGACGGAGGGAGTAATTTAAAATATTTACTTAAAAAATATATATATATAATTTAAAATATTTACTTAAAAATATATATATATATATTGTGGAAGAAATAATGCTAAGTGTAAACACAGCAAAAAGAAATGAAATAAAATAATAGAGAATATAGAAAAAGAATGAAGCAGTTGTTGAAAAGTCTTGACAGTAATGCGTGTTCTTTTGTATATTTATTTCATTTTTTTTTTTCAATGCAATGATAATTTTATGATATCTTATATAAAAATAAATATTAAATATAATATTTTTAAAAAATAAAAATACAATAAATCTTCGTACAAATCCATCCCAAGAATATTAAACAAACAAAACGATTATTATTATTATTATTATAAAAATATTATTATTATCCAAACATTACCATCAATACATACTTTTATCGAAAAAGAAATATCTATATTGACCAGTAAATCAGCTAATTTTGGTGTTTGATAAATTAGCGTTTTTAATTAACTTATTAGATCCAAAAAATTAATTTTTCATTTTAATTTTTCTTATTCCTTATTTATCTTTAAAATTAATTAATTCTTTGAATTATATTAATATTTATTTTTTATTATACTATTTATTAATTATTTGGATATATTTTCTTCTAATAACTTATAAATTCATATTTATAAATTTAAAATAATTATTTTTTATATGTCAATTATCTTATTCATAATTTTTTTTTAATTATTTAGAATAAAGATGATATAAAAATATTACTACTATTATTGATTCATTTATATAGTATTTTTTATCACATAATATTTTTATTAAAAATAAATATATTTATTTAAAATTATAAATTTAATAGAAATATATATTAATTAAAAATTAATCTAATAAAAATATATATACTAATAATTTTTATTTTTTTTTTATATTTATACTATTTCTAACGAAAAAAAAAATATTTTTCAATAAATTTTCATTAATTTTTTACAAAATGTTTTAAAAATAATAAAAATAAATATCTTAATAAAATTTTCTAATTTTTAAAATTAATAATAAAATTCTAAAAAAGTATACCATTCGAAAAAACTCAAGTAAATATATTGAAAATTACATAGAAAATGTCTTTAATTGTCCTTTTAAGTATAAACAGCTAATATCAAACCGCTATTTTACCGAACACTTTAATACAAATAGTTAATCGAATCAGCCAATCAAACCAGCTAATTGAATCAGCTAATCGCTAACAACTAATCGAATCAGCTAAGAGCTATCGGCTAATCGCCAAACACACCATATATATTCATACCACAGCTAAAAAAATGTAACCAAAATTTTTATATATTTTAAGTTTTATAAAAATTATATTCAAAGGTTTAATTAAAATTGATTTTAAAAAAACAAATACATTCAACTGTTCATAATTAAATTGCTATTATATTTCAATTATAATTTAATTTGTTAATATTTGAACAAGTCCTTTTAGTTATGATTTTAACTAAAAACAATAACTTGCTTCATATACTAAAATGATATTTTATCACAAAAGTGAATATAAAATTATGGTTTTTTATTTAAAACTAAAACACACACATATATATATATATATTTATACTCCACCCGTCCTATATCTATATATCCATTTATTTTTTACACAGAGTTTTAAAAATATTAGTATTATATTGAAATAAAGTAGAAATAAAGGTAAAAAGACTAAATTAATCATATTAGTATTGTATGATACAAAGGCAATGACATTTGTGTAATATATTAAAAGGATATTTGTAATATTAGATAGATAGTACAATTATTAAAAAAAAAAAATAGAGATTTTGTTATGAGACGGATCAAAATAAAAAAATTGATAAATTGTTAAAGGAGAGAGGAAGCATATAAAATGATTAATTGCATCAATCCTTGTTATCAAAATATCATTGAAATGAAGATTCCCAATTACATCAATTTGCTTGGAGTAATTATACATTTCGTTTTTCAAATGCTAAAAAATATTACCAAAAATGTATTTTTATAAACATTATTATCGAATTTTACTATTTGAATTTCATATTTTTTCAAAAAAAAAAATATCACATCAAATATTATTTAAATACAAAAAATTTAAATTAAATCTTTTTAAATCAAATCCAAAGAAACAACAATTCAATTGTAAATTTTTATTTGAATATAATATTTTGTGTGGTGAAATACTATAATTTTTTTTTTTTTTTAATTAGAAATTGTGATAGTTAAACAATTTATAAATAAAAATCAAACTGAAAAATAGAACCCTTAATTTTATATAGGGTAAACTATTTTTTTAGTTTCGTAACTGGACCCCTTATCATTTTAGTCCCGTAAGTGGAGCCTGTCGCAAAAAAAAATTTAAAAAAAATAATAAATCCATGTGTCCGCCAGGTGTCGCTGACCTGGCGGGACACCTGGCGGACACGTCACCTCCGGCGAGCCACGCGGGCGTCTCCGGCGCAGGAGGACTAAAACAACGAAAATTTTTCACTCATGTGACTAGTTTGCGACAGGCTCCACTTACGGAACTAAAATGATAAATGGGTCAAGTTCCGGGACTAAAAAAACAGTTTACCCTTTTATATAAAATGACATAGTCTCTCCGTCCCATAACAAAGTATATATTTGTCTTTTGCGTCACTGTACTTAACATTGAAAATATCCTTATATTTGTATAAATTTTTATACAAATGTCATTGTATTAGTATTATAAGACACCAATATAAGTATTTTTGTCATTTTCTCTTTATTTTTATACAAATGTCATTGTATTAGTATTATAAGACACCAAAAAGTAAATGAATACGTTATTATGAGACGGATGAAGTAGGTAATTTTACTTTTATTGCATAAAATCTTATCAACTTACCTGAGATAAAGATCAAAGATAAAAGCATATTTTCTTTACCTCCCGATGAATTCTAAGGTCCAAAGAAGATCCCCACTCCCATAGCTAATCCGGCACGTATATAATTTATCACTGATCGCTATCTAATACTATAATCGTTACAAATTTTTAACTCATCTCTATTGAAAAGAAAGAGAAAAAAAGAAAAGAAAAGTAAATCAATTTCAAAAAAGAAAGTGATGCGGATACGCTACAAACTTCTTTTTTTTTTTAAATAAAAAAATGAACATCGAGAACTAAATATTGACACTTATTTTTCTAAGTAAAACCTTGTATCCGTCCAATTTTCACCTTATTATTTTTTAAAAAAAATTAAAAAAATATATCCCAAATTATTTAATTTTCTTTGTGAAAAGAACTAAACACAAAAAGAGCCTTTAAATATTCCTTCTCCATCAACAAATGGATGCCAACCATAGATGATTCTCCATCCCTTTTTCATCGATCATCTCTTCTTTTCTTCAAAACCATTCATTAAACTCTATTCTTCGTAGCAAAAACTTTCCAAGGTTTCAACAATGGAGGTACGTTTCAAGCAAACAAATTTCAAAAAAAAAAAAAAAAAATTCTAACACCAACACACACTTCTTAATCTAACTTCAAGTTTTTGTTTTGTTTTCGAAATGTCGAAGAATCCTAGAGTTACCGAGATTCGGGTGAGATTGGATTGCAACGGGTGCGTGCAAAAGATCAAGAAATCCTTACACGGCGTAGCCGGTTAGTTATGACAATGCGTTGTCGCTATGCCCATGTTTGTGTTCGTGTTCTTGTTTCGTGTCTCTCACAAAAATTAAGCTTTTTTTGAATTTTTTTAGGTATATCCGATCTCTACATCGATCTCCCTCAACAAAAGGTGACGGTAGTCGGATGGGCCGATCCATCCGATATCGTCAAGGCGATCAAGAAAACTAGAAAAACGGCGGTTATATGTTTGCATACTGAGCCATCCGACGAGGCAACTCAATCAAAGTTAGAACCAGAGCCAGAATCAGAAACAGAACCAAAACCAGAGCCAGAGCCAGAGTCCGCCGACGAACATCAACAAAACAACACACAAGTGCCGTCACAAGAAAACGAACAAAATCACGAAGCCCCGTCGCAGGCGGACGATACCGCGGTGCCCGAGCCTAACGACGAGACGAGCCAAGCTAAACCTCGAAAAAGCCTCGAACAAATTCACGTCGTGTACCACCACCCTCCCGACTACGCCTACGATCAATACTTCCATCGAGGGAACACCGCGCAACGGAACAGCCCGCAAACCCGAGTCGAGCCGCCGCAACCACCTCGACCAATTCAAGTCACCCATAGCTACAATGCATACAAGCCATCGCCGTACGTAACCGAGTACGCATATCCCCATCGACCGCCACCACTGCCACCACCGTCGCCGCCGCCACCTTACTCACATTACTACAACCCGTCGGAGTACCAAAACCACACTTATTATAGCAGCGCAGGAATGCCACTGCAACCACCTCAGCCGATACATTATTACAGCAGACAAGAAATCCGAGGAGAGCCGTCATATACACCAACCGAATACGCATACCCTCAGTCGCCGCGAGGATATTCGCATTACAATATGGTCGAAAATTACAGCCCGCCGCTTTACTACAGCGGAAACAACGGCGGCGGCGGCGGTGGCAATATCACGTCGATGTTCAGTGAGGAGAATCCTAACGCTTGCAGAATTGTCTAAGTCCCAAAGATTCGATAAGATACTACTACTACTATTACAAGGTTTATTTGTTATTTTTGCCTATTGCATCTTCAAAAAAACATAAGAACCAAATATATCGATCATTTTTATTTACTACACAGCCTACAACCTTAAAAATAAATGAAACAAGATTTAACCATTTTTACCTCTACTGATTTCATCTGTCGATGGCGGTTCGGATGGATCGAAATCATCAATGGAAGACTTGAGAGGATGCATAGTATTCGCTTTCCTTGAACACGGGTCGTAAATCTTCCTTGCACATGAAGTCGAGAGGGAACGAAACAAGATGTCCATTTATGGATTCTAACCTTTCCGCAGGGTCTGCGCCGGAGACTTCTCCGTTTTGGAAGGTTTCCAGCTTGTTTGGGGCTATGCATAAATCGGTAGTTGTGTGGCTGAGCTTTTCCCTCCTCAAGCTCATGCATTGTCGAAGCGACGCCCTGGAGAGACAAAAAATCAGGTCGAGATAAGCTAAGTTGTATTGAGTGTCTACATGTAGTGCATCACTCTAGTATTTGTCAAATTTGAACTCGACTTGTTTAATAAAATGAATGTATCGAGTTTAGACCTTAACAAGCAGATCCACATAGAGTTTTCGAGCAGTTCAAATTGATTAACATCGGTACTTGAGAATAGAAATGGAAATGAAGGGGCATACCGTGTATGTATTAGATCGTTCGGAATACAGGCAAAGACATCTTGATAGATCATGGTATTTGTCTGCCGGCAATGAGTTTGAATGAAGAAATTGAGTTGATAATATTGAATTTTGATTGATGAAGTTGAGTAATAAACACAGAGTAGAGACACGATCCGAAAGTTTGTGTACCTTTGCTGTTGCCATCCACAAATCCTTGTAGGTTGAATCAATCACAGGGTCTTCAATTTGATTGACCTAAATGAATTCAAATATAATTTGTCAATTTCGATAAGATTTTACGGACAGAATTAGAGTATAGCCAATAGGAAAAATACCTCTCTGGGATGAAGGCCGAGGTGTTCAGACCACAGAGAAAGTCGAAGACTCAACGCAAATTTCCCAGCTTTCCAAGGCTTCCCATCTATCACCGAATCGACAAATTCTTTGTCCTCAATCACTGCTCCAATCTGAATAAAAAGAATTCAGTTACATCAAGCCATAGACAGTAAAGCCAATAATTTGATCTGTTTCAGAAAGGAGGTGCAATATGATGATAGTTATCAAAGATGGTGGTAATGAATGAATGGACATTATGATACATAGTTCCGACAACTTAGAACAACCTTCATGCAAACAAAATTGTCTTAATAAACGACAAGTTTCCATTGTACTCAGTGATGATAAGAATAGTTAGTGTGCTCGTATCAGGTTTCCCTCCATTCCATTCATTCATTTTAGATGAATTTAAACGATGTGCATGTGATATGTCCAAAGGAAGGTTAAAAGAGTATATTTCATATTACGAAGAGTACAAAAATAACGGTAATAATTCAAGAAATAATTTAGATGATACCTCAGAATCTCTGGATCCAAGCAAACTTCTGTCATTAACATTAGCAGAGCCGACCAATGTTGTACGGTCATCGATAATCATGATCTTGCTATGAACATACACCTGAGAGAACATAAAAGAATTATACGCCCAAATTCTATAGCTTTAAGAAAAAACATCGTCAATGAACAATAATAAGTTCGCATACCCAAAAACAGGAAAAAGTTCCACAAAAAGAAACGTCATCAAATGGCAAAAGATATATATACACAATATATGAGAAGAAAATTTTCATGTAGTTGGAGAACTATTACCATGCAAAGGACAATGTACTGTCTTGATTCTCTGATGAAAAACTGAGGCATAATGAAAAATATAATAGAAAAGAGACAATTCTACTATCTACCAAATCGAGCCTCAAGTTACTAAAGAGGCAGTGCGGAGAAGGGCTACAATTCAAAATTCAATATTGTTGATCAAAGAACAGGACTGAATATGAATATTTGTACAAGAAGAACATGTATGCTTACCTGACTAGTGGCAACAGGGCCCCCATCAAAAAGTGGACCATAAGCTCTGAGACCATAAAAGGATATATAATCATGCATTCTGGGGCCAACAAGGTTTTGGAGTTTATGAAGTATTGAATTAGGTCCTCTGCTTATTGTCCGATATTGCCAGTGCATAATGGCTCTCACAGATGCAGCACCAGAATCATCGACACCTCCCTGTTAAAATATAACAAGGTAAAAGTATACCAAGAACCATTGAAAACAGCTATGGCATAGCAGAAATGGCAGTACCTGGAAACCTGGTAGAAGAGGTATGACAATAATAACCCTGAAACACTTGTTTTCATTGTGTGCTCGCATAATACGCCTACACAATGCATCTAAAACACGATTCTGAATCATCTCATCACCTGATAAACCAGAGATGAAGAACTGATTCTGGAAAAGAAAAACATTACAAAAGTGCATGTTAAAATGTGACTAAAGTTTAATGCTTTGGGAACTACATTACAAAGATGTCACTCTACTTCTGTTTACAATCAACATGTCTTCTGTTCATTTATCTTTATACCAATTTTATATAAATGGAATTTCAACTTGTTTACAGTAATTGCACAAAAATTAACCCCACAAGGTAAATTTAGCAGATTTCAACACTTCAGAAGCAAACGATGACAACAAACCTCAATGTAGACATAATGCTCTGCTTTATCGATGAGTGAACAATATGCATTGTGAATACTTTCTTCAGTCTGGCTTGTGCCTGCTGACCACTGGCTAACACTCCGTATAATCTGAGAATCACAGATCATAGTTCATCCATGTGAAATGAAAATTCAAATTTGCAAGCAAAGGACATCAATTGTTACCTTTGCTGAAAGCAATTAAATAGTAAAGCACCATATAATAATAACAAAGTGGGTTTCATAAAACTCATAAAACCCACAAGTTGATCCATGTGATAGTTTTATCCTGCACATGGGGTATCGTCACCTATCCTATATTTACGCATATAAATTAGTACTACAAATGACACGATCGGATAGCTATACATGTAAATAGGCTTCGATAGATCAAAATTCATCTACTGACCTACCATAGATAGGTGATAGAGCCCCTTGTGCAGGACACACCTACCAGACAGACCAGCTACATATCAGACTTGAAAGTAAATAAATTTATGTCACGTTAAGGATCATAGGGCTTTAAATTCACCTGACAGTGACAAGAAACACGAGGACCAACTTGCCCAACTTCATCAGAAGAAACAACTTCAGCACCTTGCTCCTGTGTTTCCATCCATTCCTTTTCGGGAACTTCGAAATCAGGATGCATCACATGGGAAGAAAACTCACTAGAAGAATCCAAGGTGTCAGGATCATCCCCAAAATCCCTCATGGGCATATCTTGGATCAATGGGTCATTTTTGCTTTTATTGAAAAAGAAAGAACTCTTGCTAGATCGTCCTGATTGATCCTGAAGATCATGCAATGGGCTTGATACATTTACTTTTGGGACTATCTTTGCTGAATCAGGACAATCGGCATCTTGAGGCATCAGCAAAGGGACGTCTTGGAATGATGAGGAACAGTGCAGAGAGCCACTTCTTGTAATGTCATTATGATTGCTATAATCATTGTTACCAGAAATTTCTATCTCTCTGCTTTTTCCCAAATAATGAGGAATAACCATGTGATGCTGAGGCAATAGCAGCGGAATTGTATGTTCGTTTGGAGCCTTACTTCTCTGGAGATCACATATGAAAAATAAGCAAAAAGGAATTCCAAGATAAATTTTATTCAAAAGTCCACAGCAGAAAATGTTCAACCTTTGCATAGTTCCATCTCTGCACAAAATGCCGAGCCACATCACGGCAAGGGGCCCCCCAAAGGGCACAATGAACATCATGCCAAGGCATGCGAGGATATTTCAGTCGATCTAACTCATCCTTCATTGTGTCCTCCCATGAATTGGGTTCTGATTCCCTACAATTTAGTAACAAGTCGAGCGGTTTAAAATTAGATTGAAAATAATCGCAAAGAGTAAAAGTATTGTGGCAACACATAAAAATACTCCAGCAACTAACAACTATCCGGGTACGTGATGAGGAATGCTGTACAACAACTGTTTGTGATTTAAATTTTAGTAAGAATAGATAATAACAGAAGTTCCATGATCATCTGTGCAACTAAAGAAAAACACAGCTCCTAGGACTCAAAATACCTAAGTGGCCCATGCCAGTGGGATAGATGAAATGTTTAAAGAATCAGCTACTAGATGTTTGTGTTTTACTAGAGAATTAGAGATTTGATTACACCCAATTGATGTCATATCATATTCTAATGTATCCCATCTAAAACATGTACTCACACACCTCGGATTGTAATAATCCTTGCCTGGCCATATTCGAGATGGATGATCACCCACTTTGTGCTCAGGAGAATCATAACGACCAAAGCACAGATCGAGCCCTCCAATAAAACATATTTGATGATCCACAATAACAATTTTTTCGTGGTGAGACCTATGCACCAGAAAAATCAGCACATGTAAAATAATAATAATAATATTAAAACCATTTCTGGTACCAAATTCTATCAACATAATAAAATGATTTTCATTTATGATACAAAGCATACCATAGATAGACGCCTGTAGAAAAGTGGTCAGGATAGCGAAGCACTCTGATATTTTCATGGATGCCTAGAAGCCTTCTTTTGCTATAGACACTATTAATTTTGAGAGCTAGGGCAACCTCTTTGTACAGAAGAACATATACCTAGATAGATAATATAAATCAAGAACTACCAAGCACTCAAGTTAAACCCGGAAAAAAAAGGTCATTCATATGATGCAATGAAACATAATTAATAGATTCTTTACATGGAATTACCTGAACACCTTGCTTGGCTTTAGATTCCAGCAAATAATCAAGACGAAAGGATTTATGTTCCTGAAATGGACGCTGCATGTATAGTTCTGGGCATACCCACCACCCACATATAAATATCTGCATCGAAGATCTGATAATTGGTCACTGTAACTTGTATTCAATTATACAAATCATGGTTACTTAAAATTGGTGAAACTGACCTCTGACTTGGCTTCCTCAATGGCCAAAGCAATAGCTTCAAATGCAGCACAACCATCCACAAACCATTGAGCCTCACTACCATCTTCAGTTAAACCTCGGGGAGGAGCAAAAGAGCCAAATCGATGAGAATGACACCAACCTTCAGGTGGTCGAAGACCAGCATCATTGATTGCAGCAACCCAATTTTTTGCTTTTTCATCACTTTTGGCTCTGAGCATTACACTACGAGTACCAGAAGTCACCTGTCATATGAATCCAATATCTTTTAAAGTTTCTCAAATATACACTATGAGTTAAGGAAATCTTACATTCTAGCAAGTCTTCATTTATTACTGACATTGCCGTTTACAGTTTAAACTACAAAAATCACTTAAATGCTCATAGTCAAGTATTATACTCAAAACAGTGGCGGATCCAACTACTTTCTTGAATCGGTGTACAATTTATTAAATTATCATTTACAACATAAAAGAAATAAATTACAATTGTCTCTTAAGCGTGACAATTATACTCAAGCTGTAATATTTCAGACACTTGTGACTCTAATAACAACAATCTTCATATCAACAATCTTCATGCATCAATACCTAAAGTTACAATCCAAACGAAGAAGGAAGAAGGGATGAGTTTGAAGAAGAAATGAGTTTGACTTGGAGAATTACATTCCAAACGAAGAAATCACCAAATTGATACCCAAATTGATATGTTGTCGTGCTGTCTTTTGAATACAGAAGTATAGAATGAAAGTAGAGTAAAAGAAATTGAAGTTTGGATAGAGTATAACATTAATAAATTATATAACTAAATACTTTTTTAAAAAAATCTAATTCGACTTTTTTGATATAATTCTAAGAAGGAATTTGTGGGTAAAATTTGCTATTTAGGTATTTAGATTGAGAAAAAATATTAAATAATTAATAAATATATAGTTATATAATATATTCAAGTGGGATCCTGTAATCCCACTAGTTATATGATGGATCCGCCTCAGCCCAAAACCCAGGTACAATGAGCAAAGCAAAGAAGTAAAATCCCATAGTTTGAAGTTTTACATCTAAGCTTCCATATGAACAACAGTTGTGATTAGAGAAACCAGAAAAGCAGCAATTCTGTCTTAGGCTAAAACGGTACTCTGTGTGTAGTGTACATGACTAACCACTAGAGGCATACATAATTGTTGCCAATTAACCTCTGCTGATAACTACTGTATGAAGGGACCATTTACTGGACCTCAGCAACTGAGGTTTCACATGCTTAGATAATTGAGCTTGAGTACGTATGAGGCCCAGTGCACATTATAAGGACATTGGACATCACTCCACTAGTTGGATGAACAAGCAGTGCTAAATAGAGAATTCTCCAAGAAAATGGCTCACGCATAACTTACCCTGAAATAATGCCGCAAAGGATTGTGATCACTCACTTCTTTAGCCAAGGGTACTTGGCCATCTCCATTTCTGTCGGAGGCTGGAAGAACATCAAATACAATTATATCTAAAGGCTTTGGATCAAAAGGGTCTTTAAGAATGGCCAAAAATCCAGGTTTCAATACAGCCCAAACCTGCATATTATCCAAAACAGCATACATCAATTTCAGTAGTAGCTGCAATTTGCACAATGCTTAAGATTTTATATTAATTAAACAATAGTATAAGCCTTTGTTAAGAAGAATTAAAAACTGGTCTAACAAACTTCATTCAGTATAAGATATCATTTCGGATAAAATGATTATCAACTGATAAATAATGAACCATTACAACAATGATAAGTTTTATACTTCTGTCCACTGCAGAACATAATAACTACTCATATAGGAATGGAATTCCTTTATTGCTTCTACAAATAAGTAAAACAACAAACAAAAGTATGAGCAGGAGCAGGAGCAAGAAAAGCAAAGTTATGGACACAGAGCAGGCAAGCAGTTAACCATCATGAGCCTCTTCAAACTGGTTTATTGCTATTGAATATTGATTCAATGATCCGTAAAAGGTGTGGTCAGGGAGAATTAATTTTTGAAGATAAACAGAGTGGAAAACAGCAGTAGCCACTGAGTAATAAGAAGTAGATACATGAAAGGACATGGGGGAGATCATATTTGAATGATAATGAGTGTGATAACAGAAGATTGTATACTCATAGATATCCCCAAAAGAAAATAAGAAGAGAAAGAGAAAGATAAAAAGATAACAATAAAGCAATGCAAGCACAATGGAAACTATTTACATTTTCTAAAATAACTGTTTAGGAACGCGACCATACCTTTTGCCAGTTATCTCTACAACAGCTGAACCATTGACATGAGCAACATTTTCTATCATCAGCATCGTTGAGAATCGTTGGTAAATGGTTCACCATAACATAATCTTCCTTTAGCTTAGGACCATACTCTGGTAAAAAGGATAAAGTTGAAACTTCCAGAAACCTGCAAACCTACAAAAGCACAGAATTTCAACATGAAATAAGAGAACGGAAAAAGTTTCAATACCTAGAGAGTGCACCAAATGGAGCCAACCATTTTGGTTATTTTGTTGGGTACAGATATCAGTTTAAAACAGTAATAATGAACCTAATATGGATATAACTGCTACTCAATATCAATATATGATTAAAAGGGAATGCCAATTGAGACATTCCTGTATAGTTAAAGTCCATTTTCAACATGATCATTCTCTTATTTGAAATTGAAAACAAAATATTCAGATTAGTTCTTAGAATTCCAAATATGATATTAATAAGGCTGGAAAGTAGTTAGCCCTTGCCTCTTCGGAATTTACAATGTCTATATTGGTGAGAAACTGCTTCAAGTATCCTTGCATAGCTCCCTTTGCTCGGTCAGACATTGAATACTGTCTTCCAAGCGCTGGCCGTATGAGCGAAAATGCAGCACTAGATGGAACGTCTCTGAACAAAAAAGCACCTGTAAGGTATGTAAATATTACAACAGTAACGGATGTGTATCACTCTTTTTAATGCCTAAGCAATTTGACTAAGAAGCACCTGTTTTTAGAACTCTCATCATTGCGCGGAAAAACTGCTTCATCATCAGGTTCTTCTTCATCCTGTAAAACTGTCGTGTGGTCCACTATTCCTAAATTTTGAAGCCATTCTCTAACCTTTCCAACAATTGAATGAAGTGTAAATTATCAATAGATAAGACTAGCCTGTGCAGGCAAAATTTAAAATGTGTAGAAGGGTAGATGCCACTTGTTATTATACTGGGGATGATAACAAATCTATGGAATTTCAAGGCATGTGCACAGTCAAAATTGAACCATTCCAATAGGATATCGAATGGAATACTAAGTTAATTATAGTTCAGAAGCATAATAAAACTTATCGATATGAGCGCATTACCTGCTCCTGTTTCTCATGTATCTCCTCAATGAATTTTCGCCTCTTCAAAGCAAAGTGTAAATAAAAAACTTGTGAAGCTTTCTTCACAAGTTGCCACTTGAACTAAAACAAAAAAAGGATAAGAGTAGCCATCGTCAATTTAGATGATAATTCAAATTCACAAATAAAATGGAAAATAATCACTAACATGCAGATAAACATGTTACCAAACTGAGTTGCTAATAGCTCCCTAAAGATAATATAGTTAATACACAACGGTGAATATAATGACAATTTTGAAATGCATCTCTTCGCACTAGGGTACCACAACCGTCGAGGTAATATCTTTCTAATCACACAGATGATGCTTCCACACTTAGAAATTCAATCTTCGATAGTAATCCACCATGTCTGATTTTATACACATTTAATATTGTTTTACGATATTGAAACAAGTCCATGATTTCAAAATGAAAAGATTTTCGGGAAAAATAAAATGAAAAAAGTCCATGATTTCGAAATGAAAAGATTTTTGAGAAAAATAGAATGAAAAAAGTCCATGATTTTAAAGGGTAAGCAAATGTATGTCCACATGAATCAGAAAGGATCATCATTTCTTTACAGAGCTAACTCCACAGATCCAAAAATTCTCCTTTCAACATAGCGATGGCATTTAATCTTTCTAGAATGCTTAACATGTTTCCGATTGTATACTATAGTAAGAAATTCACAATACACTTAACCCGAAGCTAACATCCCCAAATTTGAATCGTCCAATGTGCTAATTCAATTCAAATTATTCCTAAGGCGAACATTCAATCCGTACAAAACAAACAGTCATATAACAATAAAAAACCTAATCCCAAACACATCAGAACAATCATCAATATGCAATTCATAATGAATTCGCACCTCTTTATACCGGCATTGAATCGTGTAAGTCAGTTGCATGGGGCTAATATCGCCGGCATCAGGGCGCGAAACTTGGATTATTACAGCGTTGGGCAACTCATCAAAAATCCGAGCAGGCTCGAAGGCGGAGGAATTCCTCTGATGAGCCGAGGACGGTGTCATCGACGACAACAACTCTGATTGCGCCTGCACCTCCGTCTGCATCTGCACGTACTTCGGCCCCCCGCCGCCGCCCCCCATCAATTGCTCGGTGGACGCCATAAACATTACACAGAAAATTAATCGGAAAACGAGATGACACCATACATATAAATTGAAAGATCTGATAGAGCTTCGATTTGCACCTGAAGAAGAACATCAACTTTATTCGATTTCAGGTTTGTTCATATCTCGCGTTCGATTTCAAGGTTACGGTTATAGTTCGATTCTGAAATTCGGGTCGGGTATACGGATATGGATCGCCCGCATGAAACTAGTGCCGTGCGTTTTAATCAAAGGTTAATATGTGATATGCATGACTCTGTTCTTTGTTGGTAAGATTTTATTCAAATTTGTTACTATCATTCAAGAAGCTTTTTCTAAAAATATCCAAGTTAAATATATTTTTCTATATTTATTATTATTTTTTTAAAAAAAAAAAAACTTTCTTTCTATTTAAAATTTTCTTTTATTATTTTTATTTGCATATTCAAAAGTATAATTATTTATTATAATAAAAATAATCACACACTAATAATAAAATATTTTAATTTTATATAAATTACTAATATAATAATAAATAAAAAATAATTATTTTTTATTTTTCTCATAAGTATTATAATAAAATTAATTTATATTTATAATATATCAGTAATTATTTATATCATATTAAATTAATTCAAATTTTTATTATTTAAAATTTACATTAAAATGCAAATTATGCACACAAAAAAAATAAGTTGGTTCACTTACTAGTTTTAAATTTATTTTTCATGTTAGGTATGAAATATCGTATCAGTAATATAAAAGATTATTTTTTATATTAATTTATAAACTTTTTGTGAGTAAATCATGTATATACATTATATGGCCGCAGCCGTAGTGTTCAATCTGTGCTGAACATTACACAACGTAGTAACAAAAAACAAATGATATTATTAAAGTAAATTGCAAAAAAATATCCTACACTTATACCCTATTATCACTTTTGTCTTGTATTTATCTCTTTAGCAAAATATATCTCACATATTTATAAAACTCGTTATTTATGTCCTTTTCTCGCGCGTGAAATTCACACAACGAGCCCTTACGCGCGGTCAAAGGATAGAAATAGCGACTTTTGAAAACATGTGGGATATATTTTGCCAAAGAGATAAATACAGGACAAAAGTGATAATGAGGTATACGTGTGGGATATCTTTTGCAATTTTCTCGATATTACTACTTCTGAGAGCACACAATTTATATTAACATAATACAAATATAACATATGAACTAACAACAAATGGCATAGTCTCGCTACAGTTTGATTTTAGCACATACAATACTCTTATATATATCATATGTTATAATTATGAACACAATATAATTACGAACAAACAACACATACTTTTATCTACAAACAACACATGTCAGTGTATGATAAAAACATATGTTATTTTTATATTTTATGTGTGCTGAAAAATCAACATTGTCCCATATTATATATTTTGTGTTAATATGAATATATATTGTATTTTTTTTATTATTGTTGATGTAATTTTTCAACAAAAATAAAGTAAAATTCAAAGATATAGAAAATATCCTTAAACTTGATTAATTAGTGCCTGAGATTAGGAATCTCTAAACACTGTATGGTACAGAAAATAAACTGGAAAATAAAAGACTGAAATTTAAAGTGGTGATCCCCAAATCTGACTTTGCTTTGTTGAAGTTGATTGAAGATACCTTGCCCAATGATTATCCAAGCCTTTAAATATTCTCTGGGAAACCGTACCGAAAACCGTCACCCGAACGGTTACAACGTCTCCTTCCCAACCGTCTTCCAACCCTTCTCATGCTGACACGCGTCCCCAGCAGACCAAAATTATCCCTATATTTCACTCTTTGAGCCGACCACAGACCTTCCGCTCTTTTGGCCCGACTGCCAATCTACAATAGTATGGGTCCGACTGCCAATCCTCCCGACTTGCGAACCATCTGGCTTGAGGTCTTTCCGCCTTGAGGACTTCCCGACCTGAAAACCTTCCGACTTGAGGTCTTTCCGTCTTGAGGACCTCCCGACCTGAAAACCTTCCGACTTGAGGTCTTTCCGCCTTGAGGACTTCCCGACCTGAAAACCTTCCGACTTGAGGTCTTTCCGTCTTGAGGACCTACCGACCTGAAGTCCTTCCGTCCTGATGACTTTCCGTCTTGAGGACTTCCCGACCTGAAAACCTTCCGACTTGAGGTCTTTCCGTCTTGAGGACCTCCCGACCTGAAAACCTTCCGACTTGAGGTTTTTCCGTCTTGAGGACCTACCGACCTGAGGTCCTTCCGTCCTGATGACTTTCCGTCTTGAGGACCTCCCGTCCTGAAGACCTTCCGACCTGAGGTCCTTCCGTCTTGAGGACCTACCGACCTGAGGTCCTTCCGTCCTAATGACTTTCCGTCTTGAGGACCTCCCGACCTGAGGACTTTCCTTAGTAATAAACCTATTTTCCTTGATTTCCTCATGGTGCCCTTCAGTCAGTTCAATCAACTCTATTGCCAGGCCCATTCTTCTTTTTACCTTGGGCTTTTAACCTAATTCTAAATTTCGTACGTAACAACTTGCCCGCCGCCAAGGGACTTTCAAACGCCATTTAACAATCAATGTTTGGAAGTTCATAAATCACCACCCTCTTGAAAAACTCCCTTAGCAACTGCACCAGTTACTGCAACACTCCTGATTAACTTCCTTCTCCGCAATACAAGCTTTTGTGAATCACAATCCCAAAACACTCTAACCATGGCGAATCAATACATTCCTGCCCTTCCCTTCGACGGAACCCTCCCGGAGGGCCCATTTTCAGCCTCGAAAGTACTAACTCCGACGATCCGTCCATATTGCACTACTCCTGAAGATTCAAATCGGATGAGGGAAGTCTTGGAATCCCGAAATTCCTTGGCTATCAACAACCCTAACTACCAAGCAGTTCGCATTCGAGACAGCATCAAAACCCATCTCACGGACCCAAAAGATCCTTACCGCGCTTGGTATCGACGGGTAGCAGAACACTTCCAGACCCAATGGCGATCCCAAAAAATCGACCAAGCAATACTACTGTCCACCATGCCTATCAATCTGCATGAGAAGGTGCTGTTGGCCATGTCTGCCTTCTGGAATGCGGAAAATGGGGTTTTCCTCTTACCATCGGGCCCCTTTGGTCCAACTCTTATGGATGTGGCAATGATCGCGCATCTCCCAATCGTGGGTGAAGACCCTGTGATGGGAGCCCTAGATGGGCAGGAGCCATCAGAAGACCATCCAGGATGGTCTTTACAAGGTGTGAAGGAATGGGGTTGGACAAAATTCGCAACCGACCAGCAAGGGGCTCCAGGGACCCCCGTGACCGACCGGGAGCATACTGCCTTTATCCTTTTTTGGCTTTGTAGGTACGTCATTGTTTCCCCTTCCAAAAGTGTTCTTCCTTCTCATCTCGACCTAGCCATTCATATCGCGTCAGGTCGTTTTTTCTCTCTTGGCACCCTGTTTTTAGCCAATCTGTTTGAAGGACTTACTAGAGTTAGCCTTCGTCTGACAGATAATGATAGTAGAAAATTAGACACTGCCGCATCGGGTCCTTTTTGGTTTTTAGAACTTTGGTTCCGTCTTTACTTCCCCAACGCGTTCAACTTAGGATCTCCGCCCACTATGCCAACATCTGAAAAACATTTGGGATTAGCCCTCAACCGACTCTGCTCAGGACGCAATAAACTCCAATCTTCCGATCCAATAATAATCGCAGTTTTAACAGATACCCGCAGTAACTCTCGATTTTCTATGTATAAAAAGTATGCGGGCTATGCTCCCGACCATTTTTGGCCTTTTCCAGTACCAAATCCGCTTCCGACTCCTGAGCCTTGTCCTCATTCCACTTATCCTTTTGCCTGGGACGTTGCCCTCAAACCCAGGTCTCTTTTTAGTAGCAAAAAACTTGATAAAAAGGGGCAGAAAACCTTTTACACTTTTAATTATGAACCTCAATTCATGGCGCGCCAGTTCGGCTGTTGCCAAGGTATCCCTGGACCCGTCGCGTGTCCGCATATAATTTTTCAAAGCCCTGACCGACGAGTCCTACCGAATTCAATCCCTTCTTATATCTCCCAACTCACCACGTATATAACTTCCAATTCTTATATTCCTTTCCGCTCCAACCCTGAGACTGTAGAAACATTCAATGAATGGTGGTCGGTTGTATGGCCCCTGATCTCCCCTGATGAGGGTCGGTTGCTGAACATACTCCTTCCCCCCCAAGGATTGGTTCTAGGGGCGGCTAGACATACTAGCACTCCACAACAAACAGCCGCCCCGGGGATCGGGTCTAGTGTTCCAACGCGAAAAAGGAAAGCGTCCCAGCTGCCAACACCCCCGACCTCTGGGGCCGACCAGCAAGCACCAGCGGACCTTGGAACTACGAGGATGTCCGCAAGGACCCGACCCCGAATAGGTAATTTTTTCCTTACAACCGTGAACCAATTCACTATATCTTAACTTTGATGTCACTCATTTCATTCCTCAGAACCGACTTTGGTAATACCGACCACACAAGCAACACCAGTCCCAGCCGACCATTCAATCGGGCCTTTGGTCCAGACCCATTTGCCAATGAGCAGTCGGGCGGAGGACCCGACGAGGAGGCAAACTCTTCCTCCCGTACCGAGGAGTGGTCGGGCCAGGCACCCGACCAGGAGGCAATCTTTACCAGCAGTGCCTATAGAACCAGTAAGTTCTCTCATCAGCAAAACTTATGATTCTCATGACCGACCTTGGTATATTTAACCAACAACATTTCCATGATTTTTCACAGACACCTTCACCAATCGCATCAGCAGCAGGGGTCTCTTCTGACAGCGAAGGGACTACTTCCCAGATGGGTCGACCGCCATACATGGCATCAGACTCATCCGTTTCGAAGGAAGGACCAACTGCCCCTGCCGAAGCGGACCCTCACAACAACATACCTGCTGCTGGTGATCTCGAAATAGTCCAATCGGATGCAGCCGCACTGGGAACCGAAAGTGTCCCGACTGCGGCTATCCCAGTTGCTCCAGAGATCCCGACTGCAGTGGCTCTAGATGCAGCCGCCCAACCTGCAGCCGCCCAGCCAGCAGCAGCGTTACCTTCAGCAATCGAGTGGCAGGCAGAAGA